CCCCCCCCCCAATAAGGTGGCAGCAGTTGCCCATGCTCCTCCCTGGAACTAAAAGCAAACTTCTGTTTGGGCTGGGGGATCATTGTCCTGCAAAGCCTTCTCAGTTACAGTGGGGAGCTGCACTTCTGTCTGTGCCAAGATGCTTTTCCCCTTCTTCATTAGGTGAATTTGAAAGCCTGGCTTGTTCCAATCCAGCTTCTCTTAGAGAAGGCTCAGGTGAAGCTTGGTGAAGAACTTCTCCATAGTTTGGCTAGTTCATTTCTAATTTGCACCCACTGTGTAAAAAATAACAATGACATTGTTCATTTTACATATTTGCTAACAATATTCCAAATTACTATGAGTACAGTTCCATTTGTGCACATTTCTTAGTTGCTGACACACCGACACACCTACAAGTACATGAACATGTGCTGCTAAGTAAAACAATGTGTGCATGCAATCTAGTATGACGCCAAATGGGAGAGTGCATACAAAGACACCACATTAACAGACTGCAGTCGAAGCTGCTTCTCCGGATCCCAATTACTGAAACATCATATGGGCTGCAATGGAATAAACATAAACACTGTCAAGCACATAACCAATAGCTGTTTTAAAGCCAAAACTAAAGGATATATGCTGCACAAGTTTATTTTATATTCTCTGCTATTGTCCTCAGTACATTCTCCAAGGCCAATGGAGGGTTTTCAGGGACTCAGCAATATGCTTCAGCAGACAGGAGCAGCGCAGATTCCCTGTGACAAAGAACAAGCTAACTGCCTGGTTCTTTAGCATTCAGAAACTACTTGCTAATTGTGGCTACTTGACCAGTGGATCAAACAATACTCTGTGTCTTTGCTAATGAGTAACAGTAGACTGGTGTTTTGATAAGTATTTCATGCAAGATTAACATGTGAGCAACAGAGACACATTACACAGTTTGGGACCTGATCTTTGTTCTTTGCCCACCCACCCAAAACTCCCACTGATGTCTTGTTGTGTGAGGGGTGATCACCTCTGTATTATAAACTGAAGTGCTCTGAATTTGAGCCTTCTAAGCAAGTGCTTGTAGTGCATGTTTATTGAACACTATTAAGCCTTTGCATTGGGATCAGAGCAGCTATGCTCCAGAATCCAGAAAGCATTTTAAAACATGGAGTCTTTCCTGAGACTCACTGTCTCCTCCTCTTTCTCTCCGTCTCTCAATGTGGTTGAATGTTTTCTTTCCTTTGTCCAGGAAAAGGAGAAGAATCATACCCAGATCTTCTGGCTTTGGTTATCGCTGTCATTGTGACCATCATTGTTTCCATGGGAGTGAAGAACTCTGTGGGATTCAACAATGTGCTCAATGTCATTAACCTGACAGTGTGGGTCTTCATCATGATAGCTGGACTGTTCTTTGTCAACGGTGACAATTGGTCTGAGGGGCAGTTCCTGCCCTTTGGATGGTCAGGGGTAAGTGTCTTGTACACAATCCAGTATGTTATAATCAACAGCAGCCTTAAGCTTAAGCCTCTCCCTGGCCACATAGGGCCAGCACCACATACCAGGTACTACTTCAAGCAGGGCAGTCCCTAGTGGGGGGTGAATTGGGTCAGCCACCCTGGGCCCTGTGCTTTGAGGGGCCCCGCGGAGCTGGGCAGAGCGGCTGTGGCGATTCCTCGCTGCCACTGCCAGCTTTGCATCCAGCTACTCACTACACCCCCTCCCCACACCACTGATGCCACCACTGCAGATGGCAGTGGCAGTTTCTTGGGGTCCAGGGCATGTGGGATCAGAGCAGGGGCGGTACCCCACATGGACTGATTTGCCCCAGGCCCCACACCCTGCTCGGGTCAGCTCTGCAGTCAGACAGGACAAGAGATGAGATTTGAAGTCAGAGCTGACCCGAGCAGGGTGTGGGGCCCGGGGCAAATCAGTCCATGCGGGGTCTGCAGACCATGATTGCACAGGCGCTTCCCATGCATTGCATACCTAGAGATCCTGTAGTGCTAAATATACAACATGCATATCACGGGAAAACCCCAGTCCCATTGGACATAACTGATAAATGTTGGGAGAGGAAGCAGAGGAGCAGATGGGCAAGGTGACCTTCCCTGGGTCTCACAATGCAAGTCAGCATCAGGGCAGGGGTCAGAGCCAGATCTCCAGGTCCCAAGTTCCATGTCCTCTCCACTGGGCCATGCTTCCTTTTGAGCCAGGCGGAAGTCAAAATCCCTGACCACCCTCCGCTTCCTTCTTGCTAAGGAACCACCGGTGTGGTTCCACTTCATGAGTCCGTGGGCTTATAAAGAGAGGAGTCATAGGAAGCCCCAGGGTCTGATAAACGAGAGTGGTAGGAGAATACTGTGGGGCATAGGCACAGTTGAAGTTTATGATGTGTTTTGTGGATACATCTAAGAAGGAGAGAGACGAATTAGGGATGGATGAAATTAGTGTGTCTGGTTTGCAGGATTTTTTTTTCTTTTTTAATTTCATATCCATTCAAATAATCTTTTCCCCAAAATTTCAACAAACCAGAAGTTCCCTGACACAGCAGCTGTTCAACAAAATTGCTGCTTTTGCCAGTCTAATACCAGGGAATAGGGACAGGGAGAGTCCTGGAGTCCCCAGCTCTGCAGACCAGCTATGAAGGTCTGCCCCAGCCAATGTATATGTAGGTCCCAGTGTTCAAGTTCCCTGAGAACCCTGGCTTGGCTTCAGTAACAGCTGCCAAACCCAAAATATTTGCAAAACTTTATATCATTTCAGACTCAATGAAGCAGCATTTTTTAGGAAACTGTTCCATTGAGTTTTGGTCTGAGTTGAGCAGAAAACAGTGTGGGGTCTCTCATGGCTCAGGGTCTCACTAAAGGAAGGACTGGACCTGCTGTGTGTAAATGTTTCCTAGAAAGAGATTTACAGCAGCATATCTGAAGGATTTTCCAAAAGATTAAAGAGGACCAAAAGCTGGGACCATTTTTCACACCCGCATCCAAATTTCAGATCAAATAGGATCCAAGGCCTAAGTCTGGTCCAAAGACCAATCCCTGACCCAGCAAAACAACTGGAACAAAGGCAAAAAGCTGAAAAGTAACATTTTTCAAAGTGCTTAAGTGCTTTAGGAACATGCATCCCCATGGCTTTCACTGGGAATTAGCCTCCTCAGTAACTAGGGTGCTTTGGAGACTTTTTCACCTGAGGCCATGTTTTTATGATGCAGCTTAGCATCCTTTTACGATGCAGTTTAGCCATCTATAGTGAGGGAGTTCAGAACGGCCAGCAGAGTTTTTATACAGACAGGAGGACACGGTGATATTTGTTTTGGTTGGTTTTCAATAAGAATGTTCTAAGCTGCTTGTTTTGTGCACTTCATAATACCACCTGCCAATGCTTATTTTAAGGATGTTAGCTCAAAGCTGACTGAGAATTTGAACAGATTTGGCTTTTTTAGCCTGCTTGAACTAGTTTATCCAAGGATGAACAGAGACTGAAAATATCTCTGCTGGACTAAACCCAGGCTAATTTATTAGATTTTCACTGCTCAGCTCCATAAAGGTTTTGTGCAGAAAACTAAGCAGGAAAATAAAGTAAAGCAAGATTTCTGATACTGGATCCTAGACCACAAACATGCTTCACTTGCTTCCCTCAGACAAATCAATATTTCATTGCTAGATTAAAAACTACCAAGAAGAATGAATCATTGAGCCCACTTGAGAGTAGAGCTCACCTTCATCCTTTGATGCTGACTGGCTATTTGATGCCATGTGGCTGGAATAAAACCAAATTGGCCCACTTCTTGGAACTCTGTGAGATGCCAATACTTTTTCTGCTTTTTTTCTCGCTCTCTCACAATATTTTACAGAAATTCAAGGCCAGCTCTTTATCTCTGTCCATAGGCCTGTTTCAGCATTTATTTTCTATAAAGATCCTTAATGATATTGTATATTTAAAGAAAACAAAGCCAATAAACCATTTAAACAGTACAAATAATTCTGCATCCAAGGGTTTCCAGTGTGGGCTGCTAGTCCATCCGCAGTTTCCAAATAAAACAGAATTTATTTTGAAAGCTGCATGCATCTGCTTGCTTTTATTCTGCTATTGTGTTCTGTCAATTAGCACATTTAGCTGCCACATTAGAAAGTCTGCTAATGTGGAATGTGTGAGAATGCTACAAATTCCTATGAAATGTATCCAATTTGGGGGTCTAACATCACTAAAGTGAGCAAATAGATAAAACCGGTGAAGTTTCTCATCTGTCATTGACAGGACCTGTCATCAGATTCAGGGACAGCACAGCTGCAGAACTGTATCAAGCATTAGGAAACTGCAGTTGACCATCTTTAGCTGAATGTACCTCCATAACCGAAGGAGCAGTATACACAGGATTTAGGGCTTCATCCCTCAAGGGGTTCACCATTCCAAATGGATCTCTTATTATTGATTTAATATGTTTTAATTCTTCCAAATCTCCTTGATTTCCAGGTATTTCAGCATGTGGCATGATTCAAGTGACATGTTGAGGTGTTTGGTAGAGTTAAGGCCCCAAATTCAAATGCCAACATGTGGGCGTGGATACTCTGGCCAGGCCTGAAGGCTGCATACACATGTGCTCGTTGGTGTTCTAATTAGAACGTGTCAGAGCAGGCTCAATTAATTGAATCTGCTCTGCGATTAATCAAGTCGGCTAATCAGAATGCTCCAGCATTACCACCGTGTCACGTGATTAAGCCCCCACATGTTCCAAAATGGCCATGGGGAACTTGATCTAAACCTCAGAAAATGAGGTTTAGATAAAGCATCCCATAGCCATTTTTAAACACCCAGGGGCTTACTACACATGGCAGTGAGGCGTTTTAATTAGAGTGTCTGCCCAGGAACCACTGTAATTAAAATGTCCCCCCCAACTCCAAGCACATGTATAGGCAGTCAAGGTGTCCAAAAGATGGCTGAAGTAGAGCTGGGCTCAAGGACTTGCTTCAGGCCAAATTTGCCTAGTTTTGCATGAGTGGTCTTACTGACTTCATGTTAAAAGGAGCAGGCTTTGGGAAGAGATATGAAGGCAAAAACTTCCTCCAGGCTGGGTCATGCTAATGGGCCCCTTTTGTGGCTTCTACTACAGCCTCTACTGCCCAGCTGCATATGTCCTTCTGCACATACATGGACTAGTACAGTAAGTCCTCCAGACCCTAACATGAAGAGAAGCACAAGGAGCCTCCACTCTCTCAACCAGGTTTATTTAATGTATCTGATTAAGTCAATTAAACCTGCAGGTGCTACAAGGCGCAGCTACTTGTTTCTATGCTTTCATTGGCTTTGACATAATCGCCACAACAGGAGAAGAAGCAAAGAATCCCAATACCTCCATCCCTTACGCAATCACAGCTTCGCTGGTCACGTGCCTGACAGCATACGTGTCTGTAAGTACCAAATTCAGATAACATTTCTCTACTACATCATCTGTGCTGTTTTCTTAGTGATGTGATGTGTCACAGAGAACATGTTGCAAAGGTTTCCTTCTCTGGTGGGCACTGATGAATCAGCTGTGGTTTTGTACACACATCAGTGTTTTCCTTTGCTACCCTTTGACCTCCCAGTCTGTTTTTTCCAGGCAGAGGACTAAAATATTTCCATTCTGGTGAGGTTATCCTTTCCTCTGCTGGCTGCTGGGAGAATGTGACAGCTTGTCTTTTCTCTGTGCATAATCAACAGCATCAGCTCTAAAGAGGAGTTCAGTGTTTAAAACTGCAGCAAAATGAAAAAGAGCATCAAAAGAGGCAGGAACTATTCACCCAGCCATATCTTTGGAAGAGGAACCACTCCCATTGCTGGAGTTTGGGACTCTGGCCAAGACAGCACAGATCATCGGCTGGCAGTAACGGGTATGGATGGCAAGCCTGGAAATGCCAGATGCATTGTTCAGCTTCTCTGCATCCAAATGAATGCACATTTGTATTCGGAGACGTAAATTGTAATGAAAAAAAATCAAGTGAGTCTCTGAAAGGGAGGGAATGTTGCTCTATTTTACAGAAAACCCACAGCAAGGCCACCAAGTTACCTCATTCTTTAATCACAGCAGTTACAAGCCAAGTCTCCTTTAGCTGTAATTACATCAGAAATTTTTCCCAAACTGATCCTATCTTTTTCAAGCTGTTGAGGCTAAATGACTCCTACTGCACTTCTCCAGTGAACTAGAGCGCAATTCTTTTATGTGCCCTGTCTCGTTACACTAATGGGCTCGAGTCAATGCTGATTTCAAGGCTTATTGTCATAATGATGTTTAAACAATGTTGCTGTTGCTTTGTAGTTACAGGAAGGCAGAATTAAAGACTGCACAGGATCCTCTTGGGTTGTTTTCCACTGGGATATATCATTCTGTAGTGAAGACGTCCCCCGCATGTGACATTTTAAGTTGTCTCTAAGCGATGAAGGGAAGCATGACCATTTCTGAAATCACACTTGAAATAGTTTGGGCTCTCTTCACTGATAACCTGATCTCCTGCACTACAAAGCCAAGTACCATCCATGTCCCTCTATCCCTATCAGGTGTCTTCTTTTGTCTCTGTTAGGTGAGTATTATCTTAACACTGATGGTGCCATCCTCTGACATTGATACCGAATCCCCTCTGATGGAAATGTTCGTAGCCCATGGATTCTACACTGCTAAGTTCATCGTTGCCATTGGATCTGTGGCTGGCTTGACAGTGAGCTTGCTGGGTTCCCTTTTCCCAATGCCTAGAGTCATTTATGCCATGGCTGGTGATGGGCTGCTCTTCAGGTTAGTCATGCTTTTGCTGTCACTTATTTTTGATCCTTGCTGCTTTTGGGCTAGAACTAAGGATAAAAGTGATTGATGGGAGCCCCACTCCTGTTCATTTCATCTTTCCTATGAAAACCCATGAGATCAATAGCTGCATTTCACTTCTGTAATCAAACTGCAAGAGGCCACAAAGTCAGGAAAACAGTGAGAGCTTGAGATAGGTCACAGCTGCGCGGGTCTGCCTGCAAACCTTTTAAACAATTCTGAGCAAGGAGAGGAAAGATGCAGGATGCCATTCCTTCACACTTCACCACACCCTGATAGCCACAGTTTGTCACTGGCTAAAAACAAGAGTAGAAGCAGCATGATAGTCAGTGACAACAGATAAGAACACAAATCAGAGCAAGTCACCTGGAGAATCAGGGTGGAGCTACAAGTGAAAGCTCATGTTAAAGTTTATACAAATGAATAGCTTTTCACCCAATCCAGTTTTTGCATGAACAAAATGTCCATGTCATGCTCCACTCACAGAGGACTAAATTACAATATTACCTGTTAGTTTCCTATTAATATAATTATTATTATATTATATATATAATATATAATATTATAATATATATAATATATATATTATAATAATAATATATATTATTCAGAAATGCGATTAGAATAGAAACAAGCAGCGCTCTAAAGCCTCGTGTTATGCTTTTCCATCTAGGTGAGGAGTGCTGTAAAGTAGGCTCCATGTTGTACAACTTTAACTTTCTGTGACTATTTCATACTTTAGATTCTTGTCCCACGTAAGCTCTTACACGGAGACTCCAGCGGTGGCTTGTATTGTCTCAGGATTTCTAGCAGCACTACTCTCCTTGCTGGTCAGCTTGAGGGACCTGATAGAAATGATGTCCATTGGCACACTCCTAGCCTACACTTTGGTCTCTGTTTGTGTCTTGCTTCTTCGATATCAGCCAGAGAGTGACATTGATGGCTTTGTCAAATTCCTGTCTGAGGAGCACACCAAGAAGAAGGAAGGGATTCTAGCGGACTGTGAGAAGGAAGTTTGTTCTCCCGTGAGTGAAGGGGAGGAGTTTTCTGGCCCACCCACCAACACATGTGGTGCAAAAAATCTACCCTCCTTGGGAGACAACGAGATGCTCATTGGGAAGTCAGATAAGTCCACCTACAATGTCAACCACCCTAACTATGGCACGGTGGACATGGCCTCAGGAATAGAGGCAGATGAGTCTGAAAACATTTACCTCATCAAGCTGAAGAAGTTAATAGGGCCACGTTACTACACAATGAGGATCCACCTTGGACTACCAGGGAAAATGGATCGGCCGACGGCAGCCACTGGCCACACAGTCACCACTTGTGTGATCTTGCTGTTCATCTTGATGTTTATCTTTTGTTCTTTCATCATCTTTGGTGCAGACTATATCTACGACCATAGCTGGTGGGCTATTCTTCTGGTGGTTTTGATGATCCTGCTCATCATTGTATTGGTTTTTGTGATCCTGCAGCAGCCAGAAAACCCCAAAAAGTTGCCGTACATGGCACCCTGTCTCCCTTTCGTCCCTGCCTTTGCCATGCTGGTGAATATCTATCTCATGCTGAAGCTCTCCAAAGTAACATGGGTCCGATTTGCTGTCTGGTGTTTTGTGGGTGAGTCTTGGATGTTTTTTTAACTGAGTTTAAAAGTAACTTAGAACAGCAAGGCCAGGCTGCCTGTCTAACCAATGGGATTGCTCAGCTAGGATGTGTTATAATACTTTGGCCTTGTGTCTTATTTCTTATCAGTGACTCCTGAGTACCCAATCAGTCTGAGTTAGTCCAGGCTGACAATATTTTTCTGTAAGAAAATGCTAAATCATTGGAAGGCAAACATTTTACAAAATGACAGTTTTCACACAGAACACAGGCCCAGCAAACTCACCCACCCATTTGTTCAGCTCACTTCAGAGTTTCTAGGTCCCTCAGCTTCAGAAAAGCCTGGCAATACACGCTGCTACAGGGTCCAAGTAGCCTAGATCTTCCCTAAGAGTCAGGGAGGCAGCTACCCTCAGGACCTGTAGTTCAGACTCTCAGGGGCTAGGCTTTTGGCTTTCCAGCAGGAAGATTGGTAACCCTGGGTGCTCTCAGGGCTTCCATACTCCTTGCCATGGAGCTAGGTATCTAGAAGACCTGGGGTCTCTTGCACTTTGCATCTCTTCCAACCAACTCTCTCCAAATGTCCACGAAAAAAATAGCATATTTTATGGTATCTCCAATAAATTATATGTCCAGCCAGCAGAGAGCCAATGCAGGAAGACAATGCCAGAATCAAGGCCCCATCATAGGGAGATATTTTAGATAGGACCTAGGATCCCCAGCCATAAAACAGATGTTCCCATTGTGGTAGGTACTGTACAAATACAAAATAAATGGTTCCTGGCCTAATGCCCTGTGAGCAAACCCTTCCCACTTAAACCAGAGCTCACTGATTCTGGCATGGAAATACAACTGGGAAGCTGTATTTAAGTGGTTAATATCATTCTGCTTACAAGATGAAGCCTTTATTCAAAGGGGTAGAATCAGCCTTTCTGCTCTCAATTGAAATGAGAGCTGTCAGCTTCTCTACCATGTGCTGAACTGCTAGCAGGGTTTGTGTTGGGAGAGTAAAACAGTCCAGCATTTACTACAGAGTCATTGCTATACTCCCCCCACCTCCACATTCCCGTTCTGACTGGCAGCTGCCAAGTGTGCCTGTACTGACAGCTCTCAGGGGTAAAACTTGATTTGATGAAAATGGAAAACAATCCAGAAGACCCTTCCTGAACACTATCAGCAGCAGGCAGGCTTTCCTGTTTGTGGACAAATCAAGAGAGACAGATGAACTCACCCAGCTGCGTGGTCCTCATTCTCATATCTGCCAGTCAACATGGAGATGCCTGGGTCAGCCCACATTCCAGCAGGTGCCCTTTCACCTGCACTACGCCATCCGGCACTGCTTTTCTGAGCAAGTCAGTTGCCTGTCAGTGGGTTACTCGTTGCTCTTGAGCCATGCTTTTGCTATAATTTGTTGGAAAACTTGTTCAGATTGCAGATTTCCTCACTGGAATCTAATGTGGCTTGACAGTGGGCGTCCAGATGTGGAGTGCCAGACCTAGGCCTCTAGATCAGGGCTGTTCAGCTGGCACCCACAGGGCACAACTGGCCTGCAGAGGATTAACTTGCGGCCTCCCCTGGCTCCCAGCCTAGGATCTGCTTGCCCCATTGCTCCTGCTACTGCTGTCAGGGTCTCTGGGCTCCCACCCCTCCTCCAGCTGGGAGTTGCGGTGGGGAGAGAGGCAAGGAGACACAGTCTGCAGAGCCCAGGGAGCCCAGGCCTGTGGAGGGGAGAGTGGGCCACACCACATAGTCTGCAGCCTGTCCAACATGCCTGGGAGCATGTGGCCCCAGCAATTAGAAGTTAGATGGCCCTGCTCTCAAAGGGTGTCTATACACGAGCTCTGGGGTGGAGTAGAGTAGGCGACTGTACATTAAAGCGCACATGTAGACGCGCCCTCTGTGACTCAGGCTGGACTGCTCCTGGGATCAGTCTATCTGAAGGAGGAAAGTGGTAACATATTCAGTTTGGGATCTCAGTTCTCTCCAACTGGGGACCTCCTGGTTGCCCACTCCTAATACACAAACAAGGGGATGCCCCTGAAAGCAGCTCATTTAAAACTGAGAAAATGAAATACTGATAATCCTTTGCACAATCCATAAGTAAACTGTAAGATTTGCTGCCACAAAATGTTATTGAAGCCATGATCTTAACAGCATTAAAAAGCAATCAAGACTTCTACTGGGATAATAAGAGCATCTACAGTTACATTAGATTAACATAAAATAAGTATAAGGGATACAAATCCCCATGGTTCAGAGCAAAAGACCACCCCAATGGCTAGGGGTCCACAAAATGTTTCCCACAATGTGTCTTTAAGAGGGAGAGAGGTTTTGCACCTTCATTCAGTGCACCTGGGAAAAGCCTTAGCTGGAAACAGAATACTTGGCTACATGGTGCACCGATCTGATCCAGCATGGCATTTCCCGAGTACCTTGTGTTACTAACTGGTAGGCCTGTGTGAAGTGGCTAGTATTTGGTTCGGATTCAGATTTGGCCAACTCAGGGGACAGTGATTCAATTCAATAATTTGAATCACTGTCCTGAATTGATTCGGCCAAATCTGATTTGGAGATTCAGCCGCCGCCAAATCGGCTGAATTTCTGAGTCAGCCCCTTCTCCCGCCCACTATCAAAGGCTGCTTCGCCTGCTCTCCCAGCTCCTGGCTCTTAAAAAAACTGCACCCACGCTGCATGGGGGGCTCTGCCATGAACCCCCAAAAGCCCTGAGGCTGCTGCAGCAGCCGGTGAGTGGTGGGGGCTGGGAGAGTGGGAGGGGGTCAGGGGCTCCTGGCAAAGCCCCTCATGTAGCATGGGGCAGTGGGGATTGCCCTCCCGCCCTCCGCCTGGCAGCAGTAATGAGTAGAGGCTGTTTTTTAAAGAGCCAAGAGCTGGGGCAGGCAGGGCAGCCATGCAGTGGGGGCTGGGAGAGCAGGCAGGGGTCGGGCGGCACTCAGGGGGGCTGGGGGAGCAGGCAGGGGCTGGGGCCTAGCAGGGGTCCCTCTATGGTCCCCTCCCCCTAATTATCTGCAGTGGTGAGTGGGGGCTGCCTGAATCTCCAAAGCTTTCCGAATCTTTTCCAAATCAATTTGGAGAGCTTCGAATTGATTTGGACCTTTTAATTGGTCTCCTGATTTGATTTGGATTCAGCCGCCGAATCGGGCCAAATCTTCTCCGAATGGAATCAGCACCCAAAGCTTTGCACAGCCCTACTACCTGGCTGCCACAATATCAGATGAGGATGCCACCCTCGTCCTAAGGACCAGCATAGCCAACAGAGCACAGACTGAGGGTCTGAGCATCTGGATGGGAATTCAACTTGGGCTCTGGTTTGAAAAGTAAAAGAGCTCAGCTAGCAAATCTAATTCAGGACAAGTGATGACCCTCAACCTAGACTTCCCAGAGCAGCTGGATTGCACTGTGTCCTCTTGTGCTGCAGTCTCCGGAGAAGGGAAACTCTTGGAAAGCTTGGAGAAATGGTCAGCTAGATACAACACCTAGTGTTCCTTACACCAACCCAGGTCCCCTCCAAGTCCTGCATCAAGGGTAATCATGTCCCAAGGGTGACCTGCCCCCTCCCTTTCCCAGCCAGACATCTTGCATCATTGTGGCTCTTCCAAAATATTGCAGCCCATCACGTAGCTCTGCAGCACTCAGGCAGCATCTAAATTGATCAGAACCATTTAATTTGTCCTGCTTTTCCTCCTTAATTTCAAAGCAGCCCACTACAGCTGAGCAGGATGGTAGGCAGAGGGCTAGACAGCAGGGCTTCTCAAGATGTATTTTTAGGATTTAATTGGACTGAGTGCAGGCTGGAGCTTCCCAGGGCTCAGAGCTGAAGCTTCATTAAATTTCCATGAACAGAAATTTGCACACAGGCCATCTGGCCATGCAGGATCTGTGCTTTGCAGCCTTATCAGGAGACCTCTAGAATCGTGGCCTCATCCATTTTTCAATAACCCAAGTCAACAGGGGAAAGAAAAAGTGGCAAGAACAGAAAACCTTTCTGCCTTGTATGAGAGGTCTAACAAAAACAGCCAGCTTCTGATGCAAATCCATTCAAGTCAGACAGGTTTTAAATATTGCCAGCTCCAGTCATTCAGAACTCATGAGTCAAGCCACTCCATATTATAAGACTTGCTTTAAAACCATGAGATTTAAGAAAAGTATTTGGGGCTCTTTCTATTTCCTTTCTATTATCTGAACCTTTCAGGGTCATGCTTTCAAGCTTTTCTCTTTGGTTACAAGGGCTACAATTTTTTTTAAACAGAAGATGAGATTTTTCACAAGATCATCCCATTCCAGAAAATGGGGCCTTACGAAAAATTTCAAACCATCACAAGGCTCACAATTAAGTCAGGAGATCTGGCCTATCCACGTGATTACTGAATTTGGCATGTGGGTTTACTAGCACAATACAAAGGTGTTATTTATGCGCAATAGCCAAAAAGACCATGTATGTTATTCCCACTTAATTGCCATTTGACTGTATGTTAGACACATGGGAGTAAGCATTCATGAAAAATAAATAGGCAAATGCCTATCTGCATAAAGCATTAATCATACCTTAAACTCCACCTTCCGCATGGCAGTTACCATATTGGACCCAGCTACAGATTCCTCTCAGAGTTGTCAACCCTCAGGATTTTATGGTGAGTCTTGGGTACTTTTTTTTTCACTTAGAAGTCCAGCACCTGGAGTTAGGGGATTCTCAGAAAAAAAATCAACTCTTAAAAAGAGTTTCTAGTATTTCAAGGCTGAAGATCAAGGTTTGAAAATCTAATGGACAAAGTCTCTAATATTAGAAGGAAAATAAAATAAGCCCCAGAGTCCCCTGTGGTTCAGTGGTAGAATTCTTGTCTGCCACGCAAGAGATCTGGGTTTGATCCCTCAATGCTTATACAACTACAGCCATGGAGGCACCAAATGTCCAGACTCAGCCTGGCCTTTGGGTTCTGTCTTGGTGGTCTAAAATGAGGATGAAGGTCTAGGCAGCCTCCACTCCTCCAAGCTCCTGCCTAGGCATATGTGCTGAAGGTCTGGGTGACTTCTCACACATATACCATGATCTGGAAGGATTGATGGTTACCAATGGAAAATGAGCCCCAGACTATCTGTTTTTTAAAATCTTTGGAGGTTTAAGCTAATTTTGCACAGAGAATGGGGTGAGTCCCCAGACTTGGCAGTAATGCCCTCTAGCTAGATATGCATACCTCTGGTAGTGGCCAGCACCTGATTGCTTTAGAGGAAGGATTTATGGCCAAATTAAAGCATACCAGAAGGGATAATTCCTTCCTGACCCCTGCAGGCAATTCACATCCCACAGCACCGGAAGGCCATCACAGAGGAGCCTGTAAAGCAACATCTAGCTGTTTTGCAGTGGCTGCTTCACACAATCTAGGGACTACAGATTGCACATTTGTTGGCCCTTGGAGGATACAGCCACCTTCACACAGAAGCTGCACCTCCCATCAAATGTGATAGCTGCCCCTTGTGCCTGCAAATCAAAGTGACTTCAAAACAGCAACCGGGTCTGCTTCATTTAATTATGTTTCCCCTGTGACTTGAGTGGTATTCCTTTGGCTATCAACCAAGGGAGCTACTGACTGAAGGCAGTGCCTCTTAATGTAATTACTTCCCCTACAGCTTCCATGGCAGCTGCTAAGCACAAGGCTGAGAGGGATGGGGTTTGTTTTACTTTTACCTTTGCTGGTGTGGGAGACATACAGTCACATTCACGTGGGTAGTCTGTTGTCTCACATGATGATGTCAGTCAGTGCCAAAGCCAAACCAGACTCATTAGGTGCCTTGCTATAGAGATGCCTCTGCAGCAGAATATTGCCAAGTAGGATTTTAACTCTCTAGTTACTTTAGATTCTTGTAAAAACATGTTACGTTGGTAGTGGGAAGGAGAAATTGTATAAGGTCAGACGAAAAGACAAGAAGGAACAAAAGCTTGGAAAGAAATAGCTAGTAATCAGAGGAGGACATTTTAGCACCCAGCAGATTTAGCCTGATAGCCAGGAAGCACATTTGGCTGTATGCAGTGTTAAGCAAGAGGGGGAGTAAAGGAAAAAAGATGAGGAGAAGGGCCTGAAAATGCAGCTTTTGCCTGTTCTTGGGATTTTCTCACAAGTCTTATGATATTTCAGGGCTTTTCCTAAAGCCCGAGATCCTGGAGACATCTGATTATGAGAGAATCATGGTCCATATTTAAAATATACATATATATTTCTAGTTCCTTGGCTGCAGAGAGAGAAGCTTGAACACACAAAACCTAAAGGGTTCAAAAACTACATGTGCTATTTTTTTTTTAATCTCACAATGTTTATGTGAAGCTCTTATCTTTGATACTAATATTACATGGAACCATTTCCTCAGCCAGTACAAATCGTCATAGTGCTGTTGACTTCAGGGTTTTCACTGGACCTAGCCTATGTTCATCAGCTGGAAATCTGGCCCATATATGTGACCCTTATACCTCAATGGGGTATAGAGTGTCTATTCCCTATTCCCCTAATAGGTTTTTTCTAGCACAACACACTGTTGCTTGGTTTTCTCTATGACTCTAGAGATCTTCACATAGTCTGTATAGGGGATACAGATGGTAAAACATCTGTGCATTAGCTTCAGGGTAACATTGCATGTGTTTAACTGTGTAATGTTTGGGTCACTGTAACATAGCATTTATTTATGCCTTTCTGAGATGGTTAACAGCTGATTCCCCTTACCCTGTTCCCTTCCCTCACTGCAGGTTTGCTCATCTATTTTGGCTATGGCATGTGGAACAGCACCCTGGAGATCAGCGCCCGGGAGGAGGCCCTTCATCAGAGCACATACCAGCGTTACGATGTTGATGTTGACCCCTTCTCTGTTGAAGAAGGCTTTTCCTATGCTGAGAATGACAACTACCAGGACTGGGGAGCTTCTGAAGACAAAGGCTTCTCTTATCAGCAGATGTCGGAGGCAAAGGAAAGTAATCGGACAAGTAGCAAATCAAAAAGTAAAGGCAAACACAAACAGAATTCGGAGGCTCTGATAGCAAATGATGAGTTAGATGTCTCGCCAGAGTAAGAGTCATGGGAACCAAACCGTAATGCGCCCTCTCACTAACCTGACCCATGGGCTAGAATGTGAAGGCTTCTCTGGCTCTCATTGTAAACTCCATCGTCCTCTAAATTTCAGCGCCCAGAATCACGTCCCTCACTCTCTCACTTCTTCTCCAGGATAGTCCTGGATTCTGAGGTTGTCACTTTCAACAAAACAAACAAGTGGCCTGTTCTGTGTCCATCAGTCATGTCCTGTTTTGGTGAATTTTACCAAGGGGGCCATCACTTGGATGGATTGATCGACTAGCAGATTCTTTCTGTGTCTATTAAACCATCAGCATGCATTATACTGAACACCTGGCAGTACTGACAACATGAGTTAATGGGAGATGTGCCAAATAGGATGAGCATATACTAAGTGAGCAGAGTCACGTGACCAGTTGAATTGGTAAGGGCCTGAAACACATTCTCTGTGCTTTCCATAGAGAATATTTACCCCATAATACTGGCTTGAAGCTACTGTTATATATTTGGCACTTTCTTAGCAAATATATTTTTCCTTGAACCTTGTAGGAAGAAGATCTTAGATAGATAGATAGATAGATAGATCCAGACTGAGGCAGTAAAATATTTCCAAGGAAATCTCAGGAGTAGATTAAAGGTAGATCCAGAGATCTTGGCCTCACAGAATAACATTTCCAACCTGCATTTCAACCTTTGGAGAACAGTATGAACACCATGGGTAAGGATGGGTCTGAACCAAAACCCCTTAAAACCAAATATCCCAACCTTGGGGAATCACAATCCAGTCTTTGTGGTTTGTATCCCTTTCCCTAGGACAGGCTGAATCAAAATGAGAGATCCCAGTGCATTTGAACCTCCCAGATCTGGATCTAGACTTTGTAGTTTGTATCCATCCTTAGTCATGATAAAGGTCTCTACCCAGCTAGACTTAACCATCCTTGTGTGACCCTCCATTTCACCTGGCACTGTATATTTCAAGACTTGGACTCTGTTTCAATCATTATGGGTCTATTACCAATTCACTAATCTCTATTATTTCCCATTAGGTAACTTCTGGATTGTCATTCAGATTTAAGTCCTTCAGGGGAAGTTCCTATTTGCTACTTTGTGACATTCCTGCACCGCAGAAATTTAGGTTCATAAAAGCTGTTAACATTCATTCATCACTGAATGGTGTCTGTAGCCAGTCTGGATGAGCCAGCCACTGACATTTCATTCCCTGCCATAAAACTATACTTCATATTAAGGATTCTTAGTTTACCTATGTTTTTGAGATACTGAACTGTGGAACTGTTGGGTGATAATCTGAAAAATATTGAAGTGCAGTTACCTACTATGGTTAACAGATTCCATAGTCTCCTACCCCACTTTGAAATAATGAAATAGGTAAGGGAAAGATGGGAGTTCATGTAACACCAGGCAGGTTTTCCCAGGAGGTGGATGGTTATTGTGAGCTTGTGGGCTACAAACAGACAGCAGGCCCAACCCTGCAATTTTCACATCAACAAAATGTCCAGTGATGTCATATCTAATCAGAGCAGACTAGAATAACCTCATTTGTGATGTTACTCCATTAAACATTAATTCTGGGATGAATTTGGCATACTGTGTCCTTTCCGATCAACATATAAGACAGAAAAAAAAAGGTTAGCTAAGCTCAAGCAGAAGATATCCTTATAAATTAACTAAACAATTCTTAGCAACAGTCTTACATCCATGATTTTGTATGTTTATTAATATATTAATATATATTATTAATGTACCAAATGAGACCATTGGCACTGCTAGGCACAAGTACAAAATACTACTACACATACTATTAAGCCTTCAGTGACATAGAGTCAAAATGAAACACTCCTCCTCCTAACCCAGAGCACACCTCACCACACCAACAGTGGAGGCTGAGATTTTCATGCTATGTAAGGCAGATAGATAGATAGATAGATTATATATATATCAATCACAGCACCTACAAGTCAAGAACTCAGTGCTGTGGCACTGTGGAGTTAGCCCTGCTGTATACAGATTCCATTGATTTTAAATATATATAGGTACCTCTATATCAGAGCACTGAGTTCCTGACTTGCAGGTACCTAGTTGTGTAGTTGAATCCACAGCCCCAACTAAAGCACTTGGACTCTCTGTACAATGCAAGAAGAGATGTAGGTGCCTAAGGGAGCAGGGAGCCACTGACACTAACCTATAGGAAGTGCTGAGAAGATACATGTGGCTTAAGTCCCACACACTCTGGCCCTGCTCCACTTGGGATTCCAGTTGAGCCATGACAACTCTCATGGAATTAAGTGCCTAAATCAGCCCTTTCTTACAGGATGCAACCAAAAGTAGATAGTTACTTTTCACCCAAGAGTCCAGTGGTTAAAGCAGTCACCCACAATCTGGAAGGTGCAGATTCAGTTCTCAGTGCACAGATATTAGGGTCTACCTTGGAGAATATGCCCCCCACCAGTCCCCAGAATTAAGAGCCTAACACTATCTGCTAAGAGGACATTTGGGCTGTCTGACTTTTGGAAGGCTTGAGCATGGAATCTGCCAGGAATTCCTACCTCCACTGTAGCCAACAAGACAAGTTTTGTCACTTATCTTTGTGGAGCCAGGGTTTCATTCACCTCTTGTTTCCAATGTAGCTGGTACCCACACCATACAGGCTTTATGCCTTGCTAGCTTATCTAGATTCTAATGCCTTCCATTAGAAGTCAGAGCCTGGATGGATATGTGTAATCCCTTATGGATATGTGTATCTTCCCTTAAAAGACATCTGTTATGGTTCTGTCACACTCTCCATTGCAATTAATGATCATCAACTTCCATGTGCAGCAGATCCAGGGAGATTTAGTCTTAAATCATTGCACTAGGTGGGAAAGTGATTGTTTCATAGACTGATTTTCAGTTAACAACCGTGATTTCAAATAAATGATAAATTACAAATGTTTTAGCTGCTGAAAGTTACACTGTTAAATGCTACCATCCAAGCGGCACCAGGATAAAAACAGAGTAATCCCACTGGCCTTGTTAGCATTATTCTGGATATAACCTACCTATTAGCAAAGACATACTCCACTGGTAGCACTGAGCCCTTCCTTTCCACTCCCTGAGCTAGGCTGTGAGCAAGGCCTCCTCTCTATTGTCCACTTGTGCAGATGACTTTGTAGTGCCAAGGCTGCAGCAGTCTCTCTTATCTCTGTGCAGGAATAGTAGAGGGATCAGGATCCACAAACACTCATTGGGGGTTGAGAAGGGAGTCTATGAATCCCAAACCTAAACCAACTGAGCAGTGTCCCTCACCCCTCATCTTCCAGATCTGACCTTCCTCGAGATGGTCCCGCCAGGGCAGATCTTCTTTGTAGGAGGAAGGAAACCTCAGGATCTGAGCTAGTATTAGTAACCTTTGAATTACTATTTATGATTAGCATTGAGATCTCCCCAGGCATAGGCCAGGCCTCCATTCTGCTGGGCAGATGACAAACACAGAATAAAAACTGCCTCCTCCAATAGCTGCACTCAAAATAAATTAAACATATTTCCACTTACTAGGAAACTTTAAATAATTTGCCTCTTCCTGTTCACTCGGGTTACCATTCGTTATTTGTTAAGGGCCCTGTCTGGGATGTCCCAGCTCAAAAGGGCTTGGAGTTAGAGAAGATAGAGAACACAGCATACGGAAAAACCAATAGAAGGGCTGATCAGAGCAACATGCTTCTCTGTCTCTACAACAAGATATGCAAACAAAAAAGGAAAAGTAGAAGGAACTTTGCAAAATGACCATTAACAAGCTCAAGGCAGATGGGGACCCATCAGGAAGGAGGGACTGTGAACACTCAGCAAACCAGGGAAATAGATTCCTGTCCTTAAGCTCAACCATCAACACATTAGAAAGTAAGAGGTTCATGCAATAAATGAAGGAGCAGTCCCCTGGCAGCACAGATCACAATAGTTCTTATTCAGTGACTATGTGGCATAAGCACTCAACCCATTCATGGCAGATCCTACACAACTTTTCTCTCTCCATCCAGTTTGTGATAATGGAAGGCATAATTTGTGGCCATTCCTTCAGCTCACCCTGATATCATGACATGTCTTTCAGATAAAAGCCAGATGAGACGTATGCAGACAAGGTTCAGGCTTAGAAAATAAATATATTGCATTGAAGTGTTCTCACTTCAGCACATGGCTAGGTTGAGGAATGAGGTTCCAAGGCAGATCTGTGTTTGTGCACTAACAGCGCACGGAGGCTCTGTTTTAATATGCCACGTGAATTCCCAAATATCTTCTCCAGTGAAAACAAAGGAATGGATCCGGCAACTCTTACTCATATGGATCCTGTGGGCTGATTGTGAGTTCATCTGCACCAGGAAATATCCAGAGTGACTCATAGAGTCGTAGAAGATTAGGGTTGGAAGGGACCTCAGGAGGTCATCTAGTCGAACCCTAGGGCTGTGCAAAACAGCACCATTCCGTTTCAACTTGCGTTTCAACGTTTCAACAGAACAGCGTTTCATTTCAAATTTCATTTCAATTCAAAACCGCTGTTCCGTTTCATCAAAACAGTTTCACTGTTTCGACGCTGTTTTGACATTTCGCCCATAGGCTATAATAGGGAAGCTCGAAACAGCCTGTAGCTTTGTCATTTATAGCCTGACTTGGCTGAAACTTGCAGGAATGGTAGCCCCTTCTGAGGGCATGAAGCCTGCCAAGTTTCAAGGAGATAGGTATAGGGGTTTCAGGGAAACTGCACCTCAAAATCTTGAAAGCAAAAACCTCATGTCACGTGTATGTGTTAAGCCACAGTGGGGTCAAAACTGCAGGCATGCTAGCCCTGCTGAGGCAACAAAGCCTGCCAAGTTTCAAGGAGATAGCTGCAGGGATTTGGGGGAAACTGCACCTCAAGCTGCGGACAAGCAAAACTCGTGACATGGGTGACAGTGTGTGTGTGTTAAGGTGTGCCCTCACTCAACTGACACCAAGGCAGAAAGCAGGGCAGTTCAAACAATGCTGCCTTTTATGCAGGTTTTCCATCCCTCCCCCAGAGCACTGGGAGTGGAAGGGACCTCAGGGAAGGATCACAGTCGCTGGCCAGCTACACAGTCAATAATGAGAGCAGTCCTTCCCCCCTCTTCCGCCCTCTTCCCCCTCCCTCTCCTTACTTTAGTTTCTGTTTCCCTGCAGGCAAGCCCAGCTTGAACTTCAAAACTCAAAACGTTTTGAAAATTTTGAAACGTTTCAACTTGCCTCATTTCATTTTGAGGCTGTTTCGAAGCTCTCCGTTTTGTTTCGATTTTGCTGTTTCAAGCTCAAAACAAGTCAAAACAGTGTCGAAACAAAAGTGCCAGCAAAATTTTGCACAGCCCTATCAAACCCCCTGCTCAAAGCAGGACCATCCCCAACTAAATCATTCCAGCCAGGGCTTTGTTGAGCCAGGCCTTAAAAACCTCCAAGGATGGAGATTCCACCACCTCCCTAGAAAACCCACCCCAGTGCCTCATCACCCTCCTAGTGAGACAGTTTTTTTCTAATATCCAATCTAAACTTGCCTTACTGCAACTTGAGACCATTGTTCCTTTTTCTGTTATCTGCCACCGCTGAGAACCGTGAGTTCTGTATTGGGATACCTGCAGTCAGAATCCTGCCTTTAAAGTCATGTAACAGGTGATCACTTACCACATTGGGGTAAAGACTCCAGGGACAAGGCCAGGCTCATATTTACATTTTGCAAAAACTTGAGAGATTCCAATAGAAAATACCAACTTCATCTTACAAGAACTAAACAATACAAGGATAGAGATTAAGGCTGGAACATTCTGAGTATAATTTAAACTGGGGGATCAGATCAAAGTGTGCTCTTTGCACTGACCAGAGCATGTCTGCACATGAGAACTGAGGAGAAAGCAAGGCTAAGGGGACAGCTCTTCTGGACTGCAAGGCACTGAATGCCCCCTTCTTGTCATGCAGGTGCCTACTGATTTACTCACAGATCCCCATTGACTTTCAGAAGTGTTGTCCCAAGAGAGGAGCTGGGACCTCAACCTACCCTTCACTAGATCCCAGAATTATGGTTTTAGGATTGGGAAGACAGAATTTTCAGTGCAGTGCAAAGCTAGCTTTTATTTATTTATTATTTATTTAAACAAATATATTTAAATATAATATATTCAACTTCTTTGAAGAATCTATTTGTCATACATGCATAGGCATATTGTACATCATGTTAGAACTAGAAAGGCTCTACTCACCTTAAATGATATCAGGCTGTATTTTCACACAAGGTTTCTGGTTTGAAAATAAGCAAGAGCAAAACTTGCATGTGTTACACCTGTCACTAGAGTCCTGTGATAAAAACAGCCTCAATCTGTGAAGTTAAAGTGTATTTTTTTAAATAATCTTAAGTACAACACAAGTCATACAGCAAGTAGAAATGGAAAGTCTTTTTCAAATGGATACCTTTTCAACCTTTGTGTGCATTTGAGCTTCCACAAATTTCCTTTCCCTGTCCTGTTAACTATCAATGGACACTCCCACAAGGAGCACCCACAATGTGTCTGATTCTGCAGGCACTCCTCCCATCACAGCCAATAGGAGTTTTGCCTTAGTAAGGATCAAAGCCAGAATGTCCACATGCCCCTTTTCAAATGCACACAACCTGCACATGCAGCTGGTAGTGCCAAATTACTGTGCAGCTAATTGGCCTGTAAGACTTGGGGGCACAGTGAGGTGCATGTTGGAAAATGTTGAAAAAATGTTTAAATGTTTTACGGGTGCCTTTGAAAATGTGGCCACATAAGCCTAGATCAGGTACCCACTACCTAAACATACACATCAACTAGATTTTTACAAGCAAGAACCATGAGCCCCC